ACAGCCTTTAATAGTTTGTTTCTTTCATTTTATTTATTGGAGGTTTGATTGTTTCAGTTCTTTGTTGAATCACTGCACCACTTTCCAGGCTTTGCTTCTTTTCTCTATGCTGCCTACCTGAGGCTACTCAGAGGAGAGCCATTAGGATGAGGAGATGCCTCACCTTTCATTCCAATCATCCCTGTGTTCAAGAATTATCTGTCAACAACTTTGCACTGAAGTTAAAGTATTGATATCCTTTCTCACCCCAGCACTTGGAGAGCTGAGGCAGGAGTAGTCAGAGTTCCACACCAGCCTGTGCTATTGAAGGAGATCCTTTTGGAAACAAAAATACAAGGAAAAGAGAAGCATCTCTAAGCATCTTTCACAGGGGACAGGGGTCCTCACTGAGTGTGTGGATTAGAGCAGAATGTGGAAAGACAGGAACGATAGTCTCTATCACTGTTTAAAGTTCTTTTCTTTGGAAAAGGTGATGAACTTGTTTTGTTTTCTCCCAAGTCCAGAATTCTGGCCCACTGGTTAAATTTACAAGAAGGAAGTGCGTGACTCACTAAGAGGAAACATGAGAAACGAAGGAAGCATTCTAAAAGTAGACTGCCTGAAAAGAAAGCAATATTCCTGGGATTGAAAGCTCCTTTCCTGTTCTGTGATGGAAAGAGGACCTTTCTCTCCTGTGTAAACTATTTTTGGATTGGGTGAAAGACTGTGGTAGACCATTTGGAATATTCAATCTACCCCTGATCTCTTTTGCTCTTCTAGTCTTAATTATTTCTTATAAATTTACTCCCTCCTCCTAATCTCCATAGTACTCACAGCATTTTGTGATTTGTACATTTTGTTTTGTACATTAGAAAGATCAGTAATTATGTTTTTTAAGTCTCTGTATGTTTGCCTATGTGTTTGTGCATGATCTTCATAAATAATAAACTTCTTGATCATCATTCACATTTAATTTTCTCCAATATCATACAGTGCTATATACTTTTTAATCTAGGCCACACTAATATAATATTTTCAGATTATAATGGAGATGCACTTTAGATACATAATTTAATTGTCTATGTCAGTGAAGAGGCATGTCCATAAAATTCCTTCCCAATGATTTTCATTACTTGGCTGTGTGTCCTTAAATTAGAATATGGTTTTACCTCGTCCCAGAGCCTGCATGGTAGCTCTCTCATTACTTTGGAGAGATAAATCTCATCACCAAACCTCCCATGTACCACAGCATCTTTCCACTCGTTCTCCATCCCCCCGTTCTGCAGACTCAGTTGTTCTATGATCCACACCCCACTCCCACTACACTAGATGTCACAAAGTATTGCATCTTTAGGGTGTTCTGTCAGATAGCCAATAATAACCCACCCATATTTGTCAGTACAGCATCAGGAAACCAGATCCAATGTACTCTGCTCAGTTGACTGTGAAGACTACATTAACAAATTGCTTGCCTTCGTGACTGCAGAGACTGTTGCCTCCATGGGGTTGGTCTTTGCAAAGGTTCTTTCCTGTTGTTTGTGCCTTCCAACAAGTCTTGTTTCTGTTTTTTGTTTTTCTAACAGCTCTGATGTAGCCTATGTTCTTTATCTCCTCGTTCTGGCTCTGATATCTGCAATTTCCTTTGCATATCGGAGCTTTGGCATCACAGTATTCCAGTTTGGGGAGAGACCTCAGCATGATTTTAAGTCCACTCTCATTGCTTACATCTTAAAAAATATTTTCTTAGGTTCATGCAATTAGAGAGAAAGAGTTGGAGATGAGACTTTTTTTTCTTTTTGACATGCTGCGTGTACTTTAGGTAGTGGGTTGATATGTGATGGGAAACAAACATTTCTATTAGTATAAGGTATTTTTGCAGACTTTTAACTTTCTTTGTATTCAAACTGGAGACCTAACACAATGATGCTGAGTGCTGAGTGTTAAATACCCAGTACAACATTTCTTATTTTCTGATTTTTTTTACTGTGCAGTCTGAGTAGCCCACTTACCCATTCTATACTCACCTGAATTTCTAGAAAAGAGAAGTGATGGTTTTACATCTCTTTATTGAACTGATGTTGGCGGAGAGATGAGATTCATGGCCTGGTATTACACAATGATGCCGGAGACATACATTCCTCTTCTTTCCCCCAATTTCCTCTGTAATGGAAGGACTCAGGTCAGACTTCTTGTTCTTGTGAAGTTGTGAAGGCATATGGGCCCCTCTCAGGAGCAGAGACTCCTGAGGTTCCCAAGTTCAGCATCCCCCTGCTTCCTTTCCCTAAGGATGAAGACCAGGAAGAGCTGCTTTATCATTGAGCACTAAGGCTGAGCTGGTGTATTATCACAGCACCTCTGTCCCTAGGGCTAAGTACACCAATTCTGCATTTGGGTCATCGGAGAGTTGATTAGTGAGAAGGCTTTGGAGACCTGGGCCCCACTGTAGCAATTATAAGCAATGATGGGCTCTCTAAGATCTTTGCTGAAATCCCTAGTTCTCTCTGTCACTTTGGTTCCATGCTGTGCCCATCCAAAATGACCTGGTCAGTAAGCTCAAAACAGCTCTTACTTGCACATAGGACTGTAGCCTGTGATTCCTTCCACTTCCCAGCTTTAACCCTTTATCCTAACAGCCCTTCACCAAATTTCCCATCTCTCTCAAGGACTGTTTTGAATATCATTCTTCTCTGGACTCTTCATGTAGTGCTCATATATTCCCTCATATGTGCTCCATTGTTCTAACTATGAGTTACTTGTAGAAAGTGAGGGTTTCCTCTTCCTGAATTACAGTATTTGAAGTCTTAGTATTTGTTATTTTACATCTCACTTTATTGCCAGTATACTTAAAATGCCTTTGCTCATTCAAACATAATCATTGAAAATACAAATCTTTATAAATACTGTTAGAAGTATAAAATTCAATATTCAAAATGATCTGTATTCATTTAGGGAATGATACTATAATATTCACCAATTCTCTGTGTTCGGTTCATGACAGGCTTGTGCCTCAGTTTCCACTTAATCTGTCCTTCCATGGTGTAGCAATGATAACGGATCTACTGGCAGAGGTTACCGTGAGGATGAACTAGATAAGCACGTGCAGAGTTCCTAGCAGAGAGCTGGCACATGTGAAGCACTATGTAAGTACAGCTATCACTTTTCTTCTGTAGAAGAGTTCAGAACAGCTCATGTAAGGAGGCTTTCCCCATCCTCTTGAAAACTAGCAATCTTGTTTGTAATTGTGCTTAAGATTCATTGTATATAAAGACCCAGTGAGACAATATGTTTTGGATATTTAAAATTTTATTTCTATTTCTACCACCAAAGTGGGTAGGCATCTGCAATATAAGAATATGTGTGTCCCTGCAAGATTTTTAAATGTAGGGTCAGGAAAATAACAAGCAAAGAATAGAACATTTGTTGTATTGGGAATCATGAACACAAGGGTAAAAGTATTTGTCAGGCTAGAAGTGTATAAAAGCTTTAATAAAGAATACACCTTGTGAGAGAGGCAGTTACACACCTATCCTGTACCACTGTTTTTCATTAATGATATTATGCATGTGAAGGGCTTGCTATGCACCAAGTATTCATTAAGTGGTAGTGTTGCTCTAATCCACCCACACATATGCATTTATTTTGTGTAATCTCTTTGAGAAAATGCAATAATATAATGTCTGACTCCAAGGAAGTCTGCAGTGTACGGAATGACAAACATCCCATGAAATACTTGTGATTAAAGTCAGTGCTTTCATTGAGACAGCTAAAAAATCATTCAGGATCCCACCTCATGATCTGGGAACCTGGTAGAGAGGGTCCTGAGACATAGAGGATGGGATGCACATGGATCTGAGTCTTTCTTGGCAGTAAGAAAGATCTGCTCCCTTACCCTCATTCCACTCAAGACCATCTTTGTACCAGGTCCCCAGTTCAAGCTGCAGGACTCTTTTGTAGCCCATGTGTCTAGACCTAGAGAGACATGGAAACCCACTACTTTGAAATAAGCCACTCAGAAGATCTGAGCATTAGAAGGATTATGGCCTGCATGGCTAGTAATCTTGAGGCTAATAGCTGGGGGCTATTAAACCAAAATCCCAGTGTCAAATATAGGATGCTTCACTGTGAGTTATTGGTCAGTGAGAGTCCAGAGGCTCTCCCAAACAAAAGCCTCTTGCCAATCCTCTTGGCTGCTCACCAAAACTAGCTGATAAGACCTTATTGCTGAAGACACCACATATCTTGGACAGAAGATGCAGAGAAATTGACTTGGAAGCTTACCTCCTATTGGCCAGCTTTCACAGTGCTTGAAGGTGTAATACAGGGTTCTGGGGGAGAAAAAGCTTCAATGATCTTACCCAGCTGAGAACCCTACTAATGACAACACTAAATTGTTAGGCAAGATGGGCCCCCTGGTGCAATAGTGGCACAACTGTTAAGGTGGGAACCAAATGCTCTCTGATTGGTTTTGAGGTTCCACAGAACAGAATCTGTGCCCATGACTAAGGTGGTCTTATGTACTACTGGGGAGCTTAGCAGAACTGACACAGAATCAAGATCCCTTCTAAATACTTATGTTTATATCCATAGACAAATTCTATTCTGTTTTAATCAGAGAAACTTTTCCTAGCAATGAAAGGTGTTGAATTCAGAGATGCACAGCTGCTCAGGATGCTGAGAATTAAAATAGCTGAGTGCTCAGCCCTCGGCAGAACATTCATATCACCTCTTGTAAGGCTCGGGGAACCCCATGGAAGCAGAGTGGGAGTAATGTAAGATCTAGAAGATAGGGAGAAAAGCTGTGTAATGCAGTCACGTGCTCATGGCAGCAGGAGCTGCTAGCATTGGATCTATATGAGATTGGGCCTGTCAACAGTCAATCATAGATTAAGGAGGGACCCACGAGGCATAACCTGCCCTGCTGAACTATAAATTGTGGATGGATTCTAGGGGGTGTCAGATACTGTCCAGATATGTGCCATTGAGGAGCTCTTCAGAATCGAATGAATAGTAGCAAGTCCACGGTCATGCAGTCAGCCCTGCCTCTTTGCCTCCTCATGGTGCCGGAGTTAAGCAGCGTCGCCCTAGCAAGTTGCTCCTACATAACTGGGGCTGCCTGCCCATCTTGGGTGGCCCTTTTAACCGCCAGCTGCAGGGGCACGGGAAAAAAAAGAAATATGTATGAAATTGTCAAAACAATAACAAAAACCAATAAACGAGGGATAATGATTTTTTTCTTCACATTGCAGCAGTTTTGCTTGCTATGTAACCAGAAAATACTGCTGTGACAGCTTTATTGAGATATAATTTACATCCATCCATCCCAGGCTTCCTCAGGAATGACAAGAATGCATAACTATGTACCAGTATCTTAAAGAATACAGAATTCTGGTTTTCCCACTGTGAAAATATTTAATAAATAATTAAACTATGAAATAGACTTTTGAAACCTTTGAATTCTTATTAGCCAGATGTGTATGAAGGTATAGCTTATCATCCTTATTTGCATTTCATTTATTATGTGTAGGATTGAATTTTTTCACACGGTTTATTGTCCATTTCACTATCTTTTTAAATTGTCTACTCATACTATAATCACTTAAAAATATTTTATTTATTATTTTGTTTTATGTGTATGAGTGTATTGCCTGCATGTATTCAAGTGCACTTGTGTTGTGCAAAGCCTGTGGAGGCTAGAAGAGGATGTTGGATCCCCTGGAACTGGAGTTACAGACAGTTGTTAGCTGCCATATGGGTGCTGGGAATATAACCCACAGCAAGTGTTCTTAACTGCTGAGCCATCTCTCCTTTAATACGCTAATAATTTTTAATTTTGTTAGGATATGTATGCTTTTTAAAAGACTTGCAGTATGCTGGTTAAGCATACTTTGAATGTTGTGTCATCGGGCTTGATTTTCCCCTTTGGTTATGAAATGTGTGTGTTACTGCATGTGTGTTCACCCATGTGCACTTAATATCAATCCATTCCTTCATGATTTGATTCTTGACAAAAAATGTATCTTTGGGGGAAGGAGAAGGGATGGTAAATGGATGCCACTGGATAGGAAGAATGATTTTATAATATTCTGTAGAACAGTCAGATAAATATAATTAACAACATTTAATTGACTAATAACTGAGACTGTACTGTACCCTTGGAGGTCAGAAGAGGGCATCAGATCCCCTGGACCTGGAGCTATCTATGGTGGTTGGCTGCAATGTGTGTTCTGGGAATTGAACCTGAGTCCTCTGCAAGAAGACTCTTAACTGCTGAACCATCTCTCCAGCCCCAAGAGATAGACAGACAACCTCATTACCCCATTTTTATAGAGAACATTTTTCCAGCAGTGACAATATGCATTTTCTTCATCTTTTTACTTGGTGGACACTTAGCTTAATTCCATCTCTTATATACTGTGAATAATGCTTCAGTGAACATGAGACTAAAAATCTCTTTGTTGTGCTATTTTTTTCTTTGTATATACCCAGTAGAGGGGCTGCTGGGTCGTGGTGTGGTTCTAGTTTTAATTTTTTTCAGGAAGCTCGTACTGCTTCTGTGACTGCACTGACTTACATTTTCACCAACAGTGTGCATGGATTCCCATTTTTTTTCACACGCTACAACTTGCTAGCATCAATCTTTTGACAATAGCTATGTTCACAAAAGTAAAGTCATTTCTCCTTCTGGCTTTAATTTATATTTCTCTCATGATTCTCATAAATTTGCCTTAAAGATTGTCTTTTTTTACAATCTGAGAATCAGGGCACCTTAAACCCTTAAAGTAGAAGTGTTACAATGAAGTGATCAGAGGAGATTTCATGCTGGGGATGAACCAAAGCCTTGCACAGGGGAGACAGGCTAGTTCTGCCACCACAATCTGGCTCAGGTTGGCCTGAACCTCACTAAATGAGCAGGCTGGCTTTGAGCTTGTGATCTTCCTGTCTTAGCCTCCAGACAGAGGCTTGTGACACCCTGTCTAGCTGTCATTTTTTTTTTAAAAAATTAGGTGATCTTCTAGTTCTGGGAGATAACCAAGAGCTTTGGCAATAGTCCGTGCTATTTTTGGTGTCTCTTGGACCACTCTTACCAACCACTCAAAGGGACTTCTTTCCTGTCTGGCACTGTGGTCCTTGCCTACAGTCCCCAGGTATACATATGCACTAATGTTTGGACACTGTATGTGCACTTTTCAGGGGGGTTCTGGAGCATCACATTTTCCTCTGGGTTCCCTAGCCTCCCAAGGTCCATTCATCTCTACTCTTTCTTCCTCCCATCCAACCTCCTCCTTCCTTCCCCAATCCCAGTGCCCCCATTATCCCCACTCTCCCGCTAATAACACCCACCTCCCACTGTCCTTTCTCTCTTAAGCTCCCTCCCCCCATCATGGCCCCCTGCATGTCCTTACCTCTTCCCCTCCCAACTGAACATTCCTACTCCCCCACCCCATAACCAATACCTATCTAATTGGTCTTAAAGCCCGCTAAATGGGAATGAGCTCATGGATCACGCTATAAACACAGTCAACTACGCATGAGTGGAAAGGACATAGATCCGAGAGAAAACCCTACCTCTAGACAAATGAAATTTCTACCATATGCTAGATATGGATCCTTATATTTATAGACAAGCATACTGTACACCACTCATTAAAGAAGCTTCTTTTTTGCAACAGATGGAGGTTACTGAGGAATCCCACAACTGATCAGACATAGAGAATATACGTCTTAGAAATGCTCAGTCCTAGGTGACACTGCCGTAATTGAACCTTTACATCTAAGGGTCATGGAACATAGTGGAACAGGGGTAGAGAGAAAACTAGTGCATCCCTCAGCTCTCATCAGTGAAGCTTCCTTATACAACAGAGTGTGATGCATATAGATGGCCACAACTGGCCAAGTTTTAAAGAACAGGAGACTGAACAATGTGTGTTCCTGGGTAGGACTCCTATATTAAACCTCACCCACCCACATTTCAAGGGACCATTGTGGAAGAGGGGGCAGAAAGATTGTAAGAGCCAGGGCTGGTTCGTGAACATAGGGAAGCAGAGGCTTTCAGGTCACTGGAAGCTTTCACATGTGAACTTGTGACAATGGTGGCCTCAAGCATAAGACCCATGTTGACTCAACTAAATAAGGGCCTAGAGTGAAGCAAAGGAAATGAGTGGTAGGCCGGCCCTAGAATGGGAACTCTTGGAGACTGGTTACTACCGGGTGAGGGAGATTATGCCTTACTTATAGTCCCTAGATAGGCTGAGTAGACTCCAGTGGATGAATTTGCACTGAAGGACATCTGTAAAAGAAAAATCTGTGTCCCCAGCTGTACAAACTACTTCACTACGGGATATGACACCTTTAATGCCATTGATCACCTCTATTACTGCATGTCAAATGAAAGAGTAACACATTTAACACAAATTTTATTAAAATCTGTTGTGTTTGTTCAAATAATCCCTTTTCTTTATTAGGTAAATATAAGCCATAACTGTTTTAACAGTATGAAATGTTACAGAAGAAAAATCATTTTATACATATTGTCAGTTATTACCTTGAATTAAAGAAACATGAAAGGATGGATGGTCAGCTTAGTAGCCAAGGAAGTAGAATTTGAAATAAAATAGGCCGGGTCCAAATTCTGACCCTCCATCTACTGCTTAGGTAACCTGAAGCAAATGACATTAAAAGTTGTACAATCTTCCCAAACTTAGTCAGTGAAACTAACGGCAGTGGTGGGCGGTGGAGGAGAAAGGGAATATATCTCTGTATAATGTTGGGGGATTAACTGTAACAATGTAGCACATTGTGATAGAAAGTTTCCAAGAAATGGAAATAAAGATTGCATTTATCCACTTCGTGCAGAAAATGAAAATATTCCCACTGATGACAGAACGTTCATAATTCGAAAGAATACAGAATTCAGATTAGAACACAGCAAGGCAAAATCGTGAAGCACTTTGAGGTCACACTTGATTTCCTTCCAATTATTTTCCTTTCCAAATTTTTTCTTCCACTATTAAGCTTTTGCTCTCAGAGACTGGCTGGCCAGACAGCTCAGTGATTTAGTGATACCCTAGTATGGGTGAGTCCCTGGGTTTGATTCCCCAGGACCTTGGGGAAAAGTCGGGTGAGGAGAGGAATTCATTCTTAGGAAGAGGGAGTCATAGAGAGTCATAGTAAGGGCTGGATTAGGGTTATAGGAAGTATCTCAGGTTCATTCTGTGTGAACATGGCTAAGTTGCTTTAACACTTTGACACTTATTTCAGCCAAGAATAACTGAGGATTTTAAACTATCTCTCTCACAATTACTGTATAAAAATATTTAAAGACTATGTGGATAGTGATTGTTATTCAAATTAAGATTTTTTTTCACTCAACATGAAACTTACTAAGACTGTAAGAATTTATTTACAAAATATAATTGTACTTTGATCTCAAACCATCATTTAAGCATTTAGCCGTGTCTCTTTACTTTGACCCAGTGCCACGAGCATCCCCATACCTCTCCACCACAGGAAGTTTGTCTCTGGATTCACTGGTGTGACTTTCCCTCATTCCTTCTGTTTTGTTACATCACTTCCTCACAGATCATTGTTTTTATGATCGTTTCTTTCCTATTGCCTTCTCTCTTCCATGAGAGCATCTTCTCCATGCAGTAAGTAGCATGCTTGAGACTCATAGTCCAATTGATGAGATTTTGATGTCTTTCTTACATGGTGCTATTCTGTTGATCTTGCTATTTTCTTTAAGTATTAGTAGCTAAATGACATCATATCTAAAGCTCTGCATGCTTGATAAAATACATCTGACCACAATCTCCTTATTTGCTTCAGTGACATTAGCCACAAAAAAGCTAGAAAGGTAATGGCTGCCTAAGAGCCTAAGCCCTGAGGTACTGAGGACTAATTAGTTAGAAAAACAGTAGTGAGTTATTTCTTCTCCCTGTGGGCAGTGCCATCTATAGAGCACATACTGGCAACCATGGACTTTGGAAAAAGGTGTCACATTCAATTAAATCTTCTCTCTCAGAAGTTCCTACCCTCTTCTTTACTCTCTGCATGTGGTTAGACTATACTCAAGCATTCTTATGGAATGCTGTGAGATAAATCAGCTCTTACCCCCTTCTTACAAAGACTGTAGACACTAACCTAGAACTCACCTCAGGAGAGTTCCACTTCCGGCTCTCAAAAAAGAAGGACCTGAGATTCCGAGACTTACTGAAGGCTGTTTTCTTCATCACTTGGACAAGATGGACTTCTGGATACTAGAGCTACCACAGAAAACTGTAGTGGCCCTGCTTTCCCTCCCTACCCTGCATCTCTGCCTCTCCCCAGCACCTTCCACAGAGCCCCCTTCACATCCTTGTTCCTCAGGGTGTAAATCAGAGGATTGAGCATGGGAGTAATGATAGTATAAAAGAGGGCCACAAACTTTCCCTCACTTTCAGAATAACTGTCCTTGGGTTGTAAGTACGTGTAGATGGCTGAGCCATAGAAAAGAGAAACCACAGTGAGGTGGGATCCACAGGTTCCAAAAGCCTTTCTGCGCCCAGCCACTGACTTGACCTTCATCACTGCCCTTGCAATGTGTGTATAGGAGCCTAGAATTAGAGCTGCAGGAAAAACCAAGACTGTGACTCTTGCCACAAACATCTTGGCCTCTGTTCCCCCTGTGTCCTCACAGGCCAACTTCAGGAGAACAGGTATCTCGCAGAAGAAGTGATTCAGTTGGTGGCCACAGAGAGGCATGGCCATCATGAGGCCTGTCTGAATCAGAGAGTTCAAGAAGCCTCCCGCCCATGAAGCAGTAGCCAATACCTGGCAAAGAAAGGGGTGTATGATGGTTGTGTAGTGGAGTGGACGACACACAGCAGCGTAGCGGTCAAAGGCCATCACCACCAAGAGCACACACTCAGTGGAGCCCAGGGCAAGGGATGTGAGCAGCTGAGCCACACACCCACCATAGCTGATGGTCTTGTCAAGTCCATGAAGGTTGACCAGGAGCTGGGGCACAGTGCTGGTGGTGTAGCAGAGGTCCAGGAAGGAGAGGTGGGAGAGGAAGAAGTACATGGGTGTGTGCAGTCGAAAGTCCAGTTGCGAGAGAGCAATGATGGTGGTGTTGCCAAGCAGAGTTAGAGAGTAGAAAACGGAAATGAAGACAAAAAGGATGAGTTCCAGCTGAGGCCAATCTGAGAAGCCCACCAGAAGGAAGTCCTCTCCAAAACTGGTGTTGAAACTTCCCATAACTTTTTCCTGCACAAATAGTAGAAGGCAATTTAATGCCTGCTATGAAGAACATGAATGTGAATAATATTCACAATATTCTCTAAGTACTTCTCAATTAGGCACATTATTTCCATTCTGCTGCCCAGTTCCACCTGTCCTGTCTTCTTTCGCTAAGTATAGCAATAACTGGATTAGGATTGCATGGCCTTTGTTTGAACCTTAGTCCTGCTGCTTGTGTGTCTCAGAACTTCAGTCAAGCTGCTCAATCCATCCCTTGGATCTGATGCTTCCTGAAAGTAGAGTTGATGTCATCCCTTCTGACATATGGATTCAAACACACTAACTTCGATTCAAAGTTCCTAACTTGGACACTGCTATAAAAAATCTAATGAAGACATGGCTCAGTGGTTAAGAGCACTGGCTGCTCTTCCAGAGGACCCAGGTTCAGTTACCAGCACTCACATGGTGGCTAACAATCATCTATAACTCAAGTTCCAGGAGCTCCAACACCCTCTTCTAGCGCCTCCATAGGCACTGCATGCATGGGTGCATTTATATACATGCAGGCAAAATACTGATACACATAAAATTAAAGCAAAACAAAACTAATATAAGACTGGGGTTCAGTTTAGTGGTGGAGTGCTTGGGTTTGAGTCCAATCACTTCAAAAGTCAAGCAAAATAAATGAAAATCTGTGCAGAAATGCATGTTAGTGTTCTATGTTGTTGTGCTTTTTTATGAGGCATGGTGCTTCTGTATGCTAAGACCCAGGACTAAGCACGCTGGAATCAGAAGTGTGTACCCTGGTGCATGTCTGCTTCCTTGAGCTCAGTGAACAAGGTCCAGAAATCCTCACTCACACAGCTGCACTCAGATGTGAACGACTGAGAAGAGTGTAGAGCCATCCTTTTAGGGGAAACGTCATTCACCACAAATCTGTTTCTTATGGATCATCATGCTTGGGACGTGCTCCACCTTTTCATTCAGTTCATAAATCCAACCCTGGACGTCCTAAGAAGAGTTGTTCTCTCCTCTCTAGCCCAGAGTTCTTTGTACAGTTTCTCTCTATAACTTGCTGCACTCAATGAAAATCTTTTACGTGTTTCTCACTGAGCTCAGCACTCTTGGGTGCTAGGGAACACAGTGAATTTTAAAAGATGTGTTTTTCTTCACAGCATACTAACATTACTAATATGGCCAGGTGCTAAATTAATGTTATATTCATCAATGGTATATAGTAGATATTGAATAACTTCTGCTGGGCAAACATTTGATTTGCCCCTCAAATCTCATGAAATGTGTTTTCCAGAAAATCAAGAATTAACCATGAACACACTTCAATAGCCTATGGCAATGAGCTATGCATTAAATTGCTTGCTTTTAAAGATTGATATCATGTGATAAAATATTAACAGTATATTAAAATGTTCGTCACAAAGAAAGGAATAAAAAAGTAACAAAAGTTTCATGTATCCTTAGTGTGAACAGTTATACCAAGTTAATACATTGCTTTGCTTTTTCATTAATCTGCTGCATTGGAAGGTCATCATACTTCAACACTGGATCATTGATTCCAGGAAGGTATTTGGGTGCTAGATGCCTGTTTGGAAAAGATGGAAAAATGTCAGCTATAAAGTCAAAGTCTGAATACACATGTTGCTCAAGTCAGCATTTGCAAGATGGCTTTTGAATGGCTATCTGAATAGCCCAACACACATTGTTGAGTGAATTAAAAAACTCATTCCACACCCTGGTACCAAGAATAGTGCACATAAGTATTTCAGATGTATTTATTTTATATGCAATAATAAAGAATTAATAGTGTCCTGTCCTCATTTAGTAGCACAAAAATATTAACCACCCATACTGTATATTTTAATCAGTTATATTACAACATTACACAGACATTTTTAACACATCTGCAGTTAACAAAAGATCAGAAGGATTGCTATATGGAAAGTCCTGAAATCATAGTAAAAATATTTTAATATAATGAAATCAGGAGTTTTACGGCATTAAGCAGCTACTACAGTGTGAAAGACAACATTCAACAGACAAACCTGAACTTAGTTTCAAAACCTCAGTTGGGCATATACAGAACTGAAGGGACCATTTGACGCCATTTATTTTAAAAGTAGAAATTAGACAGTGACCTCGGAATATAATGGTCAAAGGGGCAGCATGAGTATGTTGTGCCTACTTTACTAATCACTTTTTTTTTAAAGTGCAAGCCAAGATAAAAACGCTAGTACAGAACTTTGATGGCCTTAGTCTGGGAGGAAAACCTAGGGTAATTTCTTTCCCATATGCAGAATATCAAACTTGTTGAATGAAGTCTTTGACGAACTTCCTCATCTGCAGGGCACTGCCCCGTTACTCCCCCCATGGCTCATTTTCCATTTCTGTCTTCATGGGATTTCTCTTTTTGACCCCTTGATCTATCATGTCAACTGTTTTTTGGATAATATCTTCATTTTTCCACTCTCTTATGAATCTAATTATGGAAAAATGAAATTGTTTATAGTCTCTCTGACAAAATCAGGTCAATAAGTTGATATTGTTCAAGTTTACAGTTTTAGCGCCTAGAGTAATGATAGGCACTTGAGAGTGCTTGACATGACCCTGACCTGTGGCACATGCTCCTCACCCACCCAGCTCTTGAACACGTCCTCAGGTGGGAAGCAGTGGAGCAGTTTATGTAAATAAAATGTAGACATAGGCTTGCTTCCTTGGAATCTGGTCTTTTTATCTGGAATCTGCTGTGCAGGGAGTCTCAATACTCTGCAGACTGTAGGTTAAAGTGCCTTCTATCCCTCCTTCACCATGTTGGCTTCATATGCCACCCCAAGACTGCATGCTTGTCTTCGAGACGTGGATCCTACTTTCTAGTCTCCAGGGCTCTGCAGAGAACGGCCTGATCTTCAGAACTGTAACATCCATTCCTACCTAAAGCATAGTTCAAAGTCTCTCCTGAAACTGATGCCAGTGACTCCGTGGGTCCAGTACAGCTCACCTCCTTCTTCACTGCTCTTGTTGTCCCTCACTCAGATACCACTTGCTACAGTTATGACACTTTCCTATCTCTCTAGAGCTTTCCTCCATTCTTTCCTGGGCTCAGACGCTGAGGTCGGCTTTATCACGTCTACATTGATACCACTTGCTACAGTTATGACACTTTCCTATCTCTCTAGAGCTTTCCTCGGCTCAGACGCTGAGGTCGGCTTTATCACGTCTACATGAGGAAGCCAGGAAAAGAAAATCTCCTGGAAGCCTTTTGCATCTTTCCCAAAACAGATTCAAGTTCCTCCATGTGTGAACCCAATGATGGTCATCTGGAAGGTCTCTCACATTATTTCTGGTTCTGCATCTCACAACCCAGGTAAGGATTAGATCCTAGTTACACTGGCTCAGGGATTGGGCTGCACAGGTTTCCTGTGGGAGTCCATGGATGTGAGCGAGAGGTGTGGAGTACACAGGTAACACAGATCTTCAACTAAAGCCCTCTAAATATGGAGGAAATAATCATGCCATGTAAGCTTTATTGGTGCCGTATTTCTCAAGGTGACAAATTAAAATTTCTGCTTTTTTTTTTGAGCATTAAATGTGGTCTTCATTTTAGCCAGGATTTCAATGTGTACTTTGTTCACTATTTACTATCAGGTAAATAATCAGGTAGACTTATAAATAGTCAGATAACTGACTTTCTGGATTTAGTTATGGATATTCCATGCTATTAAGAAATTGTTTCTCAAACAGTTTCCCAGACATCTGGTCAGTTACTCATATGAACTCACAGCAATGGTGACACTATGCACAAGTCCATGCAAGCTCAAACAAGACAAAATCCCAGCATAGACATGGGGAAGTAGGTAAGAAATCTCAATACAACCTAAGGAACTTTTGGCAACTGGTGGTTGCTGGGAGGGAGATAGCCTCTTTCAAGGCTAGAACTCTTGGTAGGCTAACCAGGCTGTAGTGGATGGATACTGAAAAACATTTTTGGGACACACATTAGACTCTAGGTCTTATGATATATATATATATATATGTATATATATAAAATAGAGTACATTAAATTGGGTGAGGGCCTGTAAGGGGAGGTGTAGATGGGGAGGGGAACTTAATACCATCAACTTATATTGTATGAATGTCACAAAAATTAATTAAAATGTTTAAAATATTTCAAGAATATAAATATCCTGATAATGCAAGTAATAATGAATGATGAGCCTCCAAAAAACTATCGTTCATAGCCAATTACATTTATTTAATGTTTCAATGCGCTGGTGATAGGGTGTATCTAACAGAAGGCACTGGTTTTGCCTGCAAGACTAGAACAGGCAAGAATAGAAATTGCTTCTTTTCATATTTCCCAAATATTCCATTCCAGTAAAAGAATGAGATGATGTTAACCTAATATAACTTGTTCACGCTGGCTCATGTTTTCATCCCATCCGTCCACTGGGCATTCCTAAATTATCTTCCTATAGCTTTATCCTGAAATGAGAATATGGTCTGCACTAGTCAGATAGAATATTGAGTATTGTGCAAATTATTGGTGGTAGGCTTTCTTTGAAACTTTGACAATAGTTAAAAGGGCAGTAAGTCCACAAAGCATCTGTAAATATCCTGGATGAGAAATACATGGTTAAAATGGAGGATTTATGTTAGAAGAAAAAAGGTTAAAAATACGCCACATGGAAAACATGCCCAACTTGTTTTGTTCTTGAAAGACCAAAACTTAAGGCCAGCTGGTGAAAGTTACAAGAAGACAGATTGTGGCTTATTATGAACAAAACTGAGAAAATGCTATGATCTGAAAATAGACCTGCATGAAAGGAAGTGAGTCTCTCATAACCTGAAAGCTTCCTGCTCTGCTCATTCAGAGATAGGAATTTGATTGTTCAAATATTGTCAAAGGTTCCAGCATTAATTAAATAATGGACTGAGATGAGTTGGATCATACCACCAAGCCTGATCTGCTTTATTTTTGTATATCTTTAAAATTTTTAATTGCTATGCTTAATCTCTCCGGTGCACACAGAAAGTACTTTGACAGTTGCATATTTGATTTTCTGCAATGGTTATATGTATTAAACTTTTTGTTTGTGTCTGCATGTGTGCATGGGTCAGTGTATCTATGCGTACTCTGTATAAAGAATACATTTCTTAGTAAGAATTCATGCTTGAAATTTTCCATCTGCATGTATTATTACATATTTCTTGCCAGTTTACTAATTTAATAATATTCTCAGACTGGCACGGAACCATCTTCAACCTATAACATTTAATCTTTCTTAGCAAGGATGTTTTCAGACATTCCTTCTGAATCATTTCACTGTTACCTGTGCATTTTAAAATTGAGTCTCATTTCTCTTCTTCGTATTCTGTCTGTGCAGGAAGCTCTCTCATTAGTGGCTGGGAGATGAATGTACTATCTATCTTTATAGGCACTAGAGCATCTGCCCTTCTTCCTCCAGTCTCAGTTATTTTCTGATCTCG